AATTATTTTATTAAGTACATTTTTTACAGTATTTTCTTATGCTTTGAAGGTCTATTTTCTTTCAAATCTTGCTTTCCTTACTTTGATCATTGTTCTAAAAAAAAATATTAAACAAATAATCATGCTAAACTTTCATGCTTCTCATTCAACAGCAAATAACACACTTTGTTTAGTTTAGGCATGATGCAGGTAGGTATGCCAAAACTCAATGGCATGGTGTGTTTGCCTATATCAATTTCTGTCGCTAATATTTTTAGAGTTTTAAGAATATTATATAAATAAATACATAATTTAGTCAACTCGATGTTTTACATTTATTATTATTGTTGTTATTATTATCATTTTATAACAATTGGAATATTTAGTCTAAATAATTTTCTGAAAAAGATTGTTTTAAAAACATCAGATGTTGTATAAAAAACCATATGTATTTAATATAGTATACAGTCCTTCTATTTTTAGGATATCCTGGTGCCCTATATTCTATTTAATTGCTGTTCATCACATCAATCAATACATTTTTAACCCAGTAAGTTGTTGTTTTTTTTAAGTTTGTTCTTTTACTTATTTTACCTTCATTTCATTAAGTTTAATCCTTTTGTTGACTATTTTAAACTATTTTTAAATCCTTATAGCTTTTAAAAATCAGTGTTTTCAATATTGTGGGACATCAACCTGTCCAATATCATTTAATAAACATTTATGATATTATGAAGCTCATATTTGTTTTTTTATAACAAAATATTGTTAATTTAGTAAATAAAAACTAAAAAGAAAGTCTTACTTGCTAAAGCAAGTAAGACTTTATAGTTCTTTTAAATTGACGTAACTATAACATAAGTAATAGTTACATAATTTAACACGCGACTTAATCAAAACCATTGACAACCAATTAAATTGACTCAATCAAATTTTTTTTATCAAACACGTGACTCAATCAAATTTTTTTTATTAAACAAATTTACGTTTTGTGGGTTTTTTTTTTATAAAATAAAATTTTTATAAACGTTGTTTCAAACTACCTGGGAAAAAAACAAAAAAAATATAAACTTTAAAAATTTTAGACACTGGTATAAAGCAAATTTTTTCGATGAATCAATGCTGCGGATATAAATAAAAACATATTTTAACTCCAGCTCTCAGGGTTTTTTTTTAATTGATAATAGTGATTTTTTTAATAAAATATACTTATTCAAATTCATCTCTGAAACGCTCTACTCTGACAAAATTTAATTTTAAAGACTCTCTTCTCAATTTATATGTATAATATGTAACAATGCTATTATAATTAATCGAGATGGTAGTTTTTCAGCTTAAATTTTTTTTCTTCTTTAAGAATAATTGTAATTGAGCTGTAACCTTTTCATCAGCGATTCATTAGTGAAACAAAATTTTTGTTACGGAGAAGTTGCAAGTGTTGCATTAATTACAGATTGAAATTTTAATAATGATTAGGCTTTGAAAAGATTTTTCATTTGATTGCATTCAAATTCGGCTTGTTTTAAAATGGGTTCATGTACAAAGTATCAGTTTTGTTTTAAGCATTATTTCTTTTCATTTTTTATTTTCATTATTCTTGATGCTGCATTTTTAGTACCGCTCTACGGAATATTTAAATTAAATTTTTTTTTAGTTATCTTTAGCTTATTGCCAATTTAACCATTTAAAATGTGTCCACAATTTTGAAAACCCTAATATAAACATAAATAAATGTGTGTGTTTAAGCTTGTTCTGGAAAGAAAACAATAAAAACTTATTGTAGCCCAGTTATCTTCCCGTTTCTCTATTCGAATGGTTAATCTTTAGAATGCTGCTCATGATATTTCAAAACGAGCTTTTATGCTCAAAAAAGTTCTTTTGTTTAATGACAAGGTGATTTTCATTTTCGTATTTATATATATTTTTTGAATATTTACTATAACTAATATATTTTTTACATTATATATTTCTCTTTATTTTTCTAGGACTTACGAGATGATATTGTTCTTTACGAAACCTTGGACATTAATAACTTAAAAGGTTTTAGATTGCTTTCTCAGATACCCCCATCACGAGAATTATTTATTAGAGAACTATCTAGTTGATGCAATACAGTTTGTTGTCTTCTTTATTTAAAAAAAAAAGACTTGGGAGTGAAATGATTACTGTTTGGCATGAAATTATTACTGTTTCCCATTTTCTTAGTATTCTTAGCCTATCGGATTTGCTTTAACAATTACTCTGTTAAGAACTCTTATTGATCAGAAAAATTGTTACCAAACACTATATTACGTAGACATGCTAGTTATAAACACTATATTACGTAGACATGCTAGTTATAAATTTTATATGGAAAGCTTTTTTAAAGAACACACAAGAAATACTTTGTTGCTAAGTAATTAAGTTACAGCAACGTTCATACAGCATTAAAGGATATAATCTTTTCTATTTGTATACAAATGAAGTATGTGTAACCATGTACTGTGTAATATAATCAGTTAAAGAATTACTTGAACGTTTATTTTAAAATATTTTTTGCAAAAAGTAGGTTAATATCATGTTAATTTAATCATTTCTTTTTCAGATCAATTATTGTTAATGTGTCAGGTCCAGTGATGCTCTGAAATCTAAAAGGCACTGTTAATATGCAGATCTTAACAATTTAGGCGTTATTTGAAAAATATTTCAGGCCACGCAAAATTAGAAAATAAAACTTAGATATGAAGTAAGTATTAACCTTTATAAGGATATTAGACCGGTCTCTAAATAGACCTTGGAACGGTTTCATTGATCCTGATAATGCCAACCTAGCTGAACCAAAAACGCTACTTATATGGGGTGATAGCTTTAACATTAAGGTACCTGTAAAGCAAGGTTTAAAATCTTTCAATTTTGTCCGCAGAAAAAAATATATAACATATTTTCAAATTTAATGAAATTTAGACTTCATTGTACGCCGATTTAAACACCTGTAGAATGAAAACCACTTTTTATAATTTAATAATTGTTGCTGCAAATGTAGCGTATGGCAAACTCTGGTTAAAATTGATGATTGGTTTACTGGTCAAGGGTTTATGGCATTTTTAGTTTAAATTTTGTTAGTTTTTTTTGCTACTTATACCATGAAACGTTTCTAATTACTATGATATTCAGTCACTAATTTCAAAGAAAACATAATATGAGTGTTTTACCATGTAATACCAACAACTTTTAAAATTGCTTCATTGCTATTTGTACCATTTTCATTCTATGTTAATGGTACAAACAGCAATTATGGATAGTTTTTTAACGTTGTTACTATTCGTGCAAAAAGGTTTATATTAATTATTTATTAGATCTCTTGAAACTGGACTTTTTTTAAAATATTGACCACATGGTGTCAAAAGCATTTATATATATTTCAGTGGGTGTGTGCTTGATCATTGTATATTAGTTTAGAACTGAAAATAGTAAAATAAATAATGTAAACATTTCGGTCTTTCTAAATAATATGCTTCAAAAATAAGCAAATTTTTTTTTTTTTGTCATTTTTAGCCTTCATTCTCAACTAAAGCCGTGTCTCTTTTCTTTTCTTTTTTTCTTTTTACCGTTATTAGTTTATTTTTATCTTGTATAGCACTTAGAAACAAAAAACGGAATTGTAGCTCAAAAACGGATTTGTAGTCGGTGAGCGCAATTTTTGTGACCTCATAATATCATTTTGCTACAGAAACTTCTTCTATTTATTGTTTTGTTTTTTTTTTTCGTTTTGTAGCCCCTGATGGATATAACCATTTTGTCTAAAATATAATGAGTTATATAAAGGAAAGCGAGACAAAGTTGTCAAAGCATCTAAATTAGAGTTTGATGAACGTGTACATCTACAGCATATGAAATTCAAATTAAAAACTTTTGCAAAATCTTTACTACGAGGCATTATTCTGTCTAAATTAATAAATTAAAATCTTTATTTAATGTTTCACTATTTAAAGTAAAGCAAATTCTTACATTAAATATTTTAAAAATAAACTTCTTGAAAAACTGAATTTTTATGATTCTTATACACTTAGTTATTAATTATTGTAAAGAGTTTAAATTTTGAATAAAAAGAATTAAGCGAAAAGGAATTCAGTTGTTCTCTTATATTGCCTCAAACCATTTGCTCTATAATTCTGATTTTTGGGAATCAGAATTATAGAGCAAATAACACTCGTGTCGAGGGATCGTTTATAAGTTGCGCAACGCTATATTAATTTTCAAAATATAAGTAGAAGATCATGTGCTCTTTTTCGCGGCGATTTTCACTACTATTTTGATTTTTGGTTTAGACTCTGCATGGAAAAGTTTCTTTTTTATATATATATATATATGTATTGTCTATTAGTTTAGTATAGCGCTGAAAAATTTATGAATGATCCTTTACGCAACAAACATTAAGAAATCAAACCATACAATGAGATTGCTAATTTTTTTTTGCGGGGGATTTTTTCTCAAGCCGATTTTTTCTGAAGGGATTTTTTGGGGGGGATTATTTCCGAGGGTATTTTTTCCTAGAACCAAATAAAAGCCCTTAATTAACAAAAATTGTTAAGAAAATATATTTTCTTAATAACTTTTGTTGCGCATGTATATGATGTCAATTATTTGATTTTGTTACTAAGCAACAACAACGTTTTTTATTTTATTTGAGTAATAGTTAATCTTTGAATTTTATTTAGTTTTTTTTATACAAGTTTCTATACTGTTTGTAAACATTTAGTTTTGCCTCATTTCTATTTTTTAAGTATTTAATATAAAGTTTTTTCTTTATTACTATTTTTTTTTTTAATTTTTTGTTTTAATATTTTTTTTTTACATTTGGTGATTTAAAGACATTTTAAATATTTTTTTTTTAGTTAATTTTAAATTTATTTGAAAGTGCATATTATAATTTTTTAGAAAAATGTTTTCAAAATTTTCAGAAGCAGAGTTAGTGTGTCCCGAAGGTTGCATTCAAAAATTATCCCACTCATCAGCGAACAACGAGTTTTTAAATTGTTGAG